CTCACGCCAGATCATCTGGAGCTCTAGAAGCACTGCGCTACCGGCTGTCTTGCCCAATAGATCGGAATTTTAATTGTCCCTCCGCCGTCGTGTGCAGACAAAGAGCCGCGGAGAGACATTCGCTAAATCATCTTCAAAATAAATCTCACAGCATCGCGACAGGGAGACTTCAATCTCTCCCTCTCGCGCCAGCGCAACCTGTCCACGTCTTCTCAGATCCACTGCCAAGTGCTTCTGTGCGGTGTCTGAAAATTGGAGCACAAATCGCCATTGACAGGTTGCATAATAATTGACATAAAATCGTCCGGCATCGGAAAAAATATAAATCACGCTCGCGGAGTCTCACTCATGCCAATCACGAGACGAGACAGAGACTGCGAGAGAAAATACCACAGACGTGTTCAAACTATGAGCACAATATTCTTCAGGGTGCTGTCAATTATTTGCCAGCCACTATGAGGCTGCGGTGCAGAAAATTCACAAGATACGCCGCAGACATCTCAATAATTCGCCGAGGTGGGAAATTTCTCAACACCAAGAATTCCAGATGCGGCCAACTTCCTGTGCGATGGAACAAAGACAAATCATCTCCAGAGAGCGCGCGAGCATGTGAAGTCTCTATGTTCGTCATCCCTGGGTGAAATAGAAACGGCAAAAATGCAATTAAACGCATTTGTGCAAGACAATTGACAGCCAAAGAAGACTTTCTGTGCGCCACACGGTGTTTGGTATTTTCCCAAGAAAAACCCATTAAAGACGTATTAAAATTGGCACTGATTTGAGATCAAATTATTTACATTTATGGAAATTATCTGGCGTACCAGCCGAAGGAGTCAGTGGTACAATGTTTTTTGCGCATAATCGGCTGTGAACCATTTAAATTGGAATAAATTGTATCGCGCAGTATTCAATGTGACTATACAAGAAGCATATAAATCACAGGTGAGACAGGGAGTCTCACGCGTGAGATGGAGAAAGATGGCGAAAATTGTGCAAGAAATATCAGACTTGGCATTTTTCTCACACACGCACACACACACACACACACACTTCACGCAAAGGCCCCAAAACCGAATCATTGAACGCAATTTAATTGTACATTAATCGTACACGATGAGCAGGAAAATTGATTTAAATTAATTAATCCACCGCTGAGCATTTCGCAATAGCGCGTCATCCTAAGTCAAATACACTAATGAGCAAAGGAGGCGCAAGATCAGCTGGAGAAATGAGGCAACAATGAGCCCAATGATTCGGCAATTGAACCTCGCGCACCGCATTGTGATGGCCTTCCAACCCCAGAGGGAAAAATGCCTCGGCGAGCCCATAAACTCCCAAACGATCGACATAATGCTGGGTGTAATTAGTTGCGCAACTCGCGATCTTTGCAGTGAGATTGTCTGACGCGATCCTCACGCTGTGCGAGCGACAAAAAAGCTCTTCGCGCCCGGGCAAAAGTTCTGTGCGTGTGCTTTTGGGCCAAATTGATGAGCCGCGAGATGCGATTCCGATTGAAGAGTTGTTACCTTGGAGCCGCGCAGCTTCCATTGATGCCTCCATTGGCGAACAAATGGCAGCTCGTTAGTCGCTGGGTATATTCACAACAGCCTGCGATCTGTCAGGCGGCGCATTTTCGCCATTCAGCATCCCACCAATTAAACACTATTTGTATCGATGTTCCCAACTGATATAATTACCGACACTCTTGCGCAACACGCCGCGAGTCCTTCTAACCATCCGCGACCTGCTCTTGTCATGAGCCCGCGAGAGTGGTACAATTAATTTTTTGACCGACCGAGATTGATGCTCACACGAGTTGCAGATGAAGAGCTCATAAATTGCGATTTCTCCCCGTGTGAGAGTGATTCCGCATGCGAGAGATCTTCAATGCCGAAACTGTTTCATCTCACACGTTCAAAGCACGTCTCTCGCGGGATGTGCGGCAAAAAAGAGCCCCAGCGCGCAGTGCGGTAGAATTTATTAAATTGTAAATAAGAAGTGAAATTAAGTCGTGAATTGATAAATGTGCATGCTTCAAGTGTTTCAAATACACATTTGAGAAGCAAACAAGGAGCAGAATTGCAGAAACACAATTTAATTGCACCACAAGAGAGGTGCTTTTTGTAACAGCATCTTCTTGTTTGCCTCTGTCATTGCCTCTGCGGAGGAGCATGAAGGTGTCCTCACGATCCTCCACCTATGGCGAGATGTGCCAATGCAGAATCACTCACGAGATTGCGCAACGCCAGAGAAACACGCCACACTGACTTCCTCTAGGAGTGCTTTGTGTTTATCTACCCTAGACTGCATATCTGCAATTAACAACTTCTCACAGTGTGGCTCAGAATGGAGCAGCTAAGAATGGCAAATCACTTAATATAGTTTTAGTATTGAGTTGTGTCTCTGGACAGTTGAGAAAGTGGTCAAATATCGCAACAGTTCCATGTCATGTGCAACTGTTCCGGTGCTTATTCAAATTTTGACGCCTTCCACATCACTTTTGAGACAATTGGCCGGTCCGTGGCCAGTCATCAGGACCTGGCGAGTCGCACGAAGGTTCCCGTTGCACGCAACATCATAATTGAGACAGCAGCGCAGTTGAAGGCAGAAAAGTATCACTCGGCCGCGGTTTCGGTGGGATGATTTCTCCTCTCCCCAAACATAATTGCATGAGTAATTTTTCAGCACATCAAGAGGGACTCGCAGAATTCGCAGAGCAAATCAATCACGGCGGCAAAAGGTCCCGTACTCATCTTTTGGTGTCTTTTTGCCTCCCCTTTGACTCCACTGGCCGACAAGTCATGGAAAATATCTTGGGTGAGATCGTGAGTGATCAATTTTCAGGCTCAAGAAGTTGCGCGCACGGAGATTGAGAGCGAACAAGGTGTGTGCCCACAAATTGCTAAGAATTGATTAATTAATAATAGTGTCTGATGGTGTTCTCTCATTGGTTATTTATCGACGGCAATTGCGCTGATTTATTCAACTGTGAACCCCTTTCTTCGTGCCTTTGTTGGTTTTATGCCCTGCAACTCGCGTGTCTTCTGTGCGTTTTTTGCCTTGGCGCTGCGCGAGTTCAGGACCAATACCTCCCCCAATAAGTCTCTCATTAGTGCAGCGAATGCCTCTGCGGACTTTTTGCGAAACACTAACGCCAAATAGAGCTGCGGAAAATGCCGAAGAATGCGCGCGAATGCGGCGGAGTAATTAATTTTTCCACTGCAACTCCTCATATTTGTTCTCTCAATCACGGCGTGGAACACATGAAATAGGGTCAAAAGGTCCACCGCAGCGTCATTCATTTGCCGCGTGCAGCGATTTATTCAGTTCCCTCGACAATTTCTCCATTTTAATTAGCTTCTCGAAATTGTCTCTCCGTTCCAATATACATATAATTTCCAATAATTTCCGCAAATGAAGCACTTCTGCATGCGGAGAATCGAGTGTGTGTGTATGTGAATCCTTTATGGCGCACTGGAGTGTAATTGCAAAAGAAAAGCACATGTGGATGATGAAGATGGTCTCAGGAGAGGCGGGCAGAAGCGCGCAGCAAGCAAATGGGCTTTTCTGCCGATGCTCCTCCAGAGTGTGACAGACAATTGCACGATTTTGAAACAGAAATCCGTGACTCGTTGGAAACTCACGCAATCTATAATATGAGAAATTCTATAATTTTCAAACTGGGTGCTGCTTAGTGTGAGTCTACAAATAAATTAGAGAGCCATATATAAATATTGTGCACAGTCGAAGAAGTGCATAAATTTCACTCCAACTTGGGCGCATTTATAAATAAATGCAACACAGAGCCTCATATGATAAAACAAGACGATGATGATGGAGGAGAAGAAGATTCGCCACATATCTCACAATTTCTGCCTGCCATCCTGGCAAATTCTCCGGTGCATTAAAATAATTATAAATATTGCCTGTTAGCTACGGCAATGGGTAGACTGCCATGTAAATCAACTGAGATCGCGCACACACACTTTTCTTGCCCATAAGTAAAATATTTATTTTGTCCGTGGCAAATTTGACGTGTGATCCTGGGAAGATTTGTGTTTGCAGTGCCCCTCAATTGATCTCACCACTAATTAATCATCCACTGTGCATTGCTCAGCTCCTCCTCTTGCGCCTAACATAGTTGCGGATGGAAAATCAACAGAATTTCTTGGCTTTCCTCGCCAGTCTCTCCGGATTTCGACCACGGAGGAAGCTGCGCATTAATTGAGCGACTGCTCATTAACTGCAGAATGCATTTCTCGCCGTCCGCGGTGGGTGAGCAGAGGCAAGTGTTTCCAATTGATTGCCAGGAAGAAGTCATCGCCATTGTCCACACAGTTTCATCGCGACGACCGTGAGGTCACACTGTGGCGCAATTTGAGTCTGTGAGTGCTCACACGATGGCTCAATCAATTACAACTCCGATCTCTCCATCTTGCTCTGGCGCAGACACTGGCGAGAGATACAAATACCAAATCTCGTTAATAAGCTTTCTAGTTTTTGGACTATTGATGATGAAGGTGAGCCATGGACAAAAAGTGACCCATTTTGCGGTGCGTGCGCTCAAGATGTGATCAATACACAGTGGATGGGCACCAACCTGCAATTAGTCACTTATTAGCCTATGTGGCTCGGAGGGCAAAAATTTTTCTCCCCCTCTGGTGGCACAGCTTGGCTGACGGCGGAGACGAAATGATGAGCGGCGGAGGTGAAAAAAATAGACTCTTGCACTTCACTTAAACTAATTATATTGAAAATTTTTCACACTTCAGAGGGCAAATGTTGCGGTTTTGTAAATTTAATAATTCAATAATTGGCACAAATCTCCCCCCCCCCCGATGTGGATTGTGGACTGTCTGGTTAAGAGTGAAGAAAGTAGAAATTACACAGGAGGCAAATAGATTAAATTTTGGTGCCCGAGCGGGACTTGATAAGGAACTGGTTTGGTCTTATCTCTATGGCGTGAAGCGCATTCGACGATATTTCTGCACTGAAATGCGTCAACATCCTGGGGGGGCCGATGATGAGGGCGGGAGTCCCTCGATGGGCAATTTGGACAGCCTCTGAACTGCCCTTTTGTATTTACCCCTTGCTGTCCTGATCGTGACGACTCTGCATCGTCCATCTCTGCCCGGATGAAGCTCCTCGATGATGCCCATTGGCCCTTGATGTGTGGCCATTGAATCGTCGCCGATGAGAACGATATCGCCAATCTTCAAATTGTCCGCTTCCTGCGTCCATTTGACTCTCTTCTGGAGAAGATGGAGATATTCTTTCCTCCAACGATGGGCGAAGTGCTGCAGAATCTTCTGGCAAAGTTGCCATCTGGAGAGGCGATTTGGCGCAACATCTGTGAGCGTCTGATCCGGGAGCGCGTTCAGTGGGCGTCCCACTAAAAAGTGACCAGGAGTCAATGCGAACATCTCATTTGGATCCTCGGAGAGTGGCGTGATTGGTCTGCTATTGAGGATGGCTTCGATCTGTGCTACGATGGTGTTCAACTCCTCAAATGTGAGAATAGTCTGTCCAACTTCTCTGGCTAAGTGATGTTTGAGGGACTTGATCGCCGCCTCATAAAGTCCGCCATGATGAGGAGATCTTGGTGGCGCGAAGTGCCAATTGATGCCCTTGGGAGCTGCCTCTAAAACAACGTCTGGCGATGACTGGATGTCTCGCAGGAACTTTGCCAACTCTGCGCTGGCTCCGCGAAAATTGGTGGCATTATCGCAGAAGATGTCGCTTGGAGCAGCTCTCCTGGCCGCGAATCTCCGCAGCGCAGCGACGAAGCCCTCGGATGAGAGACTGCCGACAACTTCCAGGTGAATGGCTTTCGTCGTGAAGCAGACAAAGGCGCAAATGTACGTCTTATATGATGTACCTCCTCTCTTGTAGCTAGGACGCGTGAGGACTGGGCCGCAGAAATCGATGCCACACACTTTGAATGGAGCCACGTGATCTGTCCTACTCGTGGGAAGATCTCCCATTCTCTGCTCCTGTCGGATCGGCTTGGTTTTCCAGCACACAACACATGAGCGAGCGACGTTTCTGGTCAGATTTCTTCCTCCCAGCGGCCAATATTTCTGACGCAGAGTGGCCAGAAGCAGTTGTGGTCCCGCGTGCATGTTGTTCTTGTGTGTGTGGGTGGCGATGATCGTGGCGAGGCGACACTTGGGCAGAAGAATTGGATGGCGGGCATCGTAGTTTGCAGGCGATTGAGCCAGTCGGCCACCCACTCTGATGATTCCCTCTCCATCAATGAAGGGAGTCAAGTGGCGCACATGGGCGAACCTCCTGCTGGTCCACATGGTGCCATCGGCAATGGCTGATCTCACTTCTGCCAAGTGTTGAGCTTGTGCAAAAGATACTAGTTTGTGCTCTGATTTTAGGAGTTCTTGGGATGTAATGGGACCTCTAATGCGACTAGGCGAACCTGTCAGGACTCTTAGCACGTATGCTAGGATTCTTTGTATCCGCAGATAACTGCTGGATCTTTCAAGGATGGTATCAAGGATGTGACTTTCTGGGACCTGATTGATAATGGCAGTCGACGAAGCAATGAGCGTGACACTATACGGGTCTCGAGGCCAGTTTTCGGCCTTACCCAACAAAAACTCTGGGCCCGTCCACCATATAGATGAACTTTTCAATTCTGTGGGCAACATACCACGCGATACAACGTCCGCAGGATTTGAGGCTCCCGGTACGTGCTGCCATTTCGAAACGTCCGTCAGTCTGAGAATCTCAGCGATTCTATGCGCGGTGAAAACGTCAAATTTAATGCGGTTTGATCTGATTTGCCCCAAAACAATCGTCGAGTCTGTCCACAAGAAATATTCCGTGACTGAGAGAGCATTTCTGATCTTGTGGGCCAACTGAGAGCCTAGAGCTGCGGCACACAATTCCAATTTGGGGATGGTGATCGACGATGTGGGAGCAATGCGCGACTTTGCCATCAGAATCTGAGACTGGCGACCATGGATATCATCCTCTGTGACCACATAAGCCACGGCACCATATGCAACTGAGCTGCTGTCGCAGAAGACATGCAACTCGGTGGACTTGGGAGACGTCAAAGTCGACATTGGGCGCTGAACTTTGATCTCCTGAAGGGTTGGAAGACCTTCGGCTAATTGTTTCCATTGGGAACTGATATGTTCCGGAAGCGGATCATCCCAATCCAACTTTTCCTCTTTCCAAAGGGCCTGCATGATCAATTTTCCGATAACAATCACTGGAGAGACGAAACCAAGAGGATCATAAAGTGACGCAATTGCCGCGAGGACTTCTCGCTTTGAATTGACGTCAATGAAATCTCGAGTGAGCTGGAAGACGAAAACATCATCCTGAGGGTGCCAAAGCATGCCTAGAGCCTTGGATTGTTCAGGAAAGATGCTGCGCACCTGTGAGGGCTCTACTTCCTCTGTGATTTCTGGACTGCTGACACACCATTTGGCGAGCGTCATGCCAGCGGAACTCAACAATTCTTTCAACTGCCGTTGAGTTTCAAGCGCATCGGAAATGGATGGGCATGATGCGAGACAATCGTCCACATAAAAATTCTCTTTCAGTGCCTTGGCAGCGAGTGGAAATTTTACCTCTTCTCTATCTGCCAGATCGATGAGGACTCTTGTCGCGAGATAAGGCGATGAACTTACACCGAAGCAAACTCCTCTTGCCCTATAATGACGAATGGGTTCCGAATCTCGGAATCGCCACACAATGCGATGGGAGTCTTTGTGGGAGGGATGAATTAGCACCTGAGGATACATCTTCTGGATATCACAACAGAATGCAAAAGGGTGTTCTCGGAATCTGAGGAGAATTGCGACGATGTCGGGCTGAACTGTCGGGCCCACCATGGCAACATCATTCAGGCTGAGGCCTGTTTGGGATTTTGAACTGGCATTCATGACGATGCGAACTTTAACTCCTGAGGAGGACTTCTTAGCAACAGCGTGATGAGGCATATAGTAAGAAGTGGAAGTGATCTCATCTGGGGGAACCTCCTCAAAAAATCGCAAGTCGAAATTCTCCTGCATCGCAGCGTGATATTGGCTTTTTATCTCTGGGTTGGCGGACAAACGACGCTCGAGACTGAGAAATTGTCTGGTGGCATTTGGCAAATTGTTATGAAGACGCACTAAACTGGGGCGAAAGGGGATCTTCACAACATATCTTCCAGTGTCATCGCGGACAGTGGACTCTTGGAAGCAGTTCTCCACGATCTCATGATCAAGGGTCTTAGGATGGGCAGTGGAAACTTCTTCTATTTCCCAAAACTTCCGGACCGATGAGTCGATGGAGGCCAGCGTCGTTCCAACATACGCGACCTGGTCTGATTGTCGCGTCTGTGACGAGCTAGCATGGGCACCAGAAACAACCCACCCAAAGCAACTTTCTTTGAGAATTGGCAAGCCTTTGCCCAATCTCATTATCTGTCTGGTGAATATCTCGTTATAGAATTCGTTGCTTATCAGCAAATCAATGGGCTGAGACACATGCCATGTTGGGTCGGCAAGGGAGATCTCTGAGGGAATGGCGATCTGATCCACCTGTACCTTCCAATTAGGCAACTTTTGTTCCAACACTGCGGGAACAATTTGGCATGTCATCGAAAAATGGACATCTTGATTGTCAACTGCCTGCACACAACATTCAGCCTGGAATTTGGACTTAGCTCCACCTCCAACCACCCTCCCAATGTACACGTCGGACAGAGATTTGGGCAGCCGAAGTCTTTGGAATAGGGGCTGTGAAATCAGATTGACTTGAGCTCCGGAATCCAGCAAAGCTCTGCACAGCTGCGGAACACCGAACTTATCCAAGACTCGTACCACAACCGTCTCTAGAAATACCTTCACAGCAGGGCGAGAGGCAGTGGAAGAGCCGACAATGGCTGTGGAGTCAGACTGTGAAGTGTCTGTGGGCCTATCATTCGATTGGGTCTGCTGCTGAGCAGGAGTGGATTGTGAGGACTCAGACTGAAAGGCTTCGTGCAAAAGTGTGTTGTGGTGTTTGGAGCATTTCCGGCAAGTGAAAAAGGTACAATCCTTCGTCAAATGTGTCTCGGTGATACATTTTCGGCACAGTTTGTTGTTCCTGACAAGTTCCAGACGTTCTATGGAGGGCATGGCAATGAACTTGTGACACTTGAACAACTTGTGGCCTTCTTTTTTGCATCCAGGACAAGGAGATTGTGCAGTGGCAGAGAGAACTGTGGCTTTTTGTGGCTTGAGATGCTTATTGCTGGTTGGGCCAGCTGGAGTGGACTTGGTGGCCTGAGATGAGGATTTGGCCGGGTAAGAATTGTACTGTGCGATGGACTTTAGTCTCTCTCTCAGAAACTGCAAGAATTGGACCATCGTTGGTGATTGACTCTTAACCTCGCGAGACCACAGAACTTGGGTTTCATGGTCGAGCTTCTCCAAAAGCAAATAAATGACCCACGGATCTCTTTCCTTGACATCAAGTGCGTCGAGGGAATTTAAAACTGAATTGGCGGTGGCAAAAAGATCCGTAAGAGCATCAACTGAGGGAGTGGAAATTGCTGGCATCGTGCAAAAGCGCGCAAGGTGATGATGAACAACAGACTGCTGATCGTCATATTGTCCCACTAATGTGTCCCACGCAACAGAATAATTGGCATCTGTGATGGCCAAACTATCAATCAACTTCTTCGCATTTCCCTTGACTGAGGAGACCAAATATTGCATACGTTGCACATCAGTGAGGCGAGGGTTAAGATGAACAATGCTGGTGAACATGTCTTTAAAGTGATGCCAGACAGTGTAATCACCGGAAAATTCTGGGACCGTTAACACAGGGAGCTTCAAATGGGACTGATTTCTGACGTCGTGTGGTTCTGGCCGTGGACTGTGGGCCACTACATTGGTCAGCCTATCGAAAAAGTTCTGATTGCGCACCTCTGCTTGTGCTTGATGAGTAATGAGCATGGCAAGAGCTTTTTCTAAATTAGCAATTGACGAATCACCAGAAATTTGAGCTGATGGCTGATGATTAGAGCCAGAAGGGCCAGGGATGGGCAAAGGATCATCATTATCATCCTTCCGGTCCAAAGCATCACCCAAAATTCTCCTCAACTGACTAATTCGCTCCATGATTCTCGAGGGCTCCTCATATTCAGTCACCGAATTATTTCCCGTATTCACTAGCTCTTCATGAACCATTGTGAGTTGAGCTTTAAGGTCATCAAGTTTAGTTATGTTGGAGGCAATATCTGTAGCCGAAAAGGAAGCCTCATCCTTGCGAACGGAATCAACATAATTTTCAATGCGAGTCAGGTGACCCTTAAGTGTCGCTCTTTTGCTCAGGAGAGTCATAATTAATCAGGGTGAGAGCGAAAGGAAAAAAGATGGGAATTGCACAAATTTTCACTCTACACTGTTACAACTTACTTGGCGTGTGAAGATTGATACGGCAGAGCTGAATGGCGGCGTGGACTGCACTTGGTCACCGCAAAAGCTGGTGGACGCCTTCGCAACTTGGACGGCGGTGCCTCGAAGGGCCAAAATGGATGGGCACCAACCTGCAATTAGTCACTTATTAGCCTATGTGGCTCGGAGGGCAAAAATGGATGGGCACCAACCTGCAATTAGTCACTTATTAGCCTATGTGGCTCGGAGGGCAAAAATTTTTCTCCCCCTCTGGTGGCACAGCTTGGCTGACGGCGGAGACGAAATGATGAGCGGCGGAGGTGAAAAAAATAGACTCTTGCACTTCACTTAAACTAATTATATTGAAAATTTTTCACACTTCAGAGGGCAAATGTTGCGGTTTTGTAAATTTAATAATTCAATAATTGGCACAAATCGCGATGTGGATTGTTGGACTGTCTGGTTAAGAGAGAAGAAAGTAGAAATTACACAGGAGGCAAATAGATTAAATTTTGGTGCCCGAGCGGGACTTGATAAGGAACTGGTTTGGTCTTATCTCTATGGCGTGAAGCGCATTCGACGATATTTCTGCACTGAAATGCGTCAACACACAGTAAATTACATTTCTTGGGCGATCCTCCATGTCGCTCAGCGGCCTCTTCTGCGCCACAATTTGGTGTTCACTATCAAGTTTTGATTTAATTGTAATTTGATTTCTTCCGCGAAAGCGTTGTAAATCATTTTGGTGGGAGATTCTGTGCATTCCAGCGCTCGGATCATTGAGAATGGCGCTCAAGATCACGATCTGCTGGTGGTTTGTGTGTGACATCATATATTGGGATCGCGCGAGGAGCGCGAGGCTTTTCTCAGTGCACACAAAACGAGGAAATATGGTGCAGATGAGAACAATACATCATCGATTTGATTTCTTTGTGCGATTTTTCTCCGTGTACACTTCTCATTGTGTCCGCGCGATATGGCAACAAAGCTCTCACATGGAAGGTTCTCGTGAATGAATTGAATGAATGAGATACACCTTGACTTTTTCGCATACACCATTTCACATACAAAAGCTCCAGATGGCCATTGTGAGAAGAATGCCTGGAAAAATCAAGACAATCTTCTATGCGCGGAGATTTTTGTTAACATTGACAGTGGGAGAGAACAAACGAAGCCTGGCATTTTCCTGCCGCGCGCGAGAAGAGATCATGAGAAACTCCTTCCCAATAAACACACCACTCATCTTCTTTGATGTATTGATTGCAAACAATATGAATTATCCGCCTCCTTAATCACCCATTTTCACCACAAATGATGCCACTTCACCTAATAATCCATCTTGTCTGGTCGTCGCCTGTGAAATGCCATCTTCTCGCTCGCGGGATGAATCTCAAGGAGCGCACCCACAAATCAAGCGCATTTGCTCATTGTTCGCAATTATCCAGGGCGATGATTGAATGTGACAATTTACAGATATTTCATGTCAATTATCTTCCTGCAAATGTCACTGCCTCGGCCTCATCGTCGCGCCGTGCCTCATCTCTGCCATTAGCCGATCGATCGTGACGATCGCGAGAGAGTGAAATTGAACGAGATGCCGATGGAGACCTTCTATCCATCACAATTTGCAGCAATTGCAAGTTCATAAAATTGCAATTAAGAGTCAAATTTAATGGCTCACCGGAGCGGCATGTGGAATTGATCGTTGCAGATCTCCACGAGATGACGACAATGTTGCACTCTGTGTCTTGCCATCCCTCTCGTGCTCTATCACCTGCAATATCGGCTCAGGCGACTTTGTAATTGGAAAATCGAACGGACGGCGGGCATAAATTACTCACGCAACAGACCACCCACTGACCATCATAACACTGGGCCAGGAGAGACACACACACGCACGCTCTTCCCGCCTGGATGGAGAGCGTCTCGATGGTTGTTTTGGGGGGAAGATTGGCGTGACATTTAATACCGCGCCAGAAATCGATGACTTGCTGTGCAAATGACGACAGTGTGTCACTTCACACCTTGCTCTTTGTCACCGATTCAAACATCGTCATGTCATCCATCGACACATGAGCAATTGATGAGGGCGCGCGCGAATTTCAGCCATCCGAGGCACTTATCGCGATTGGGGCCCACCTGGCCCACGAGCGAGACAAATTGGTCTGGAAAAGCTCCCCCTTTGCCCATGATTTGCGTAAGACAAGTCGCGGAGTTTAGATTAATACCGCGAGATGTGAGACTGACAGAGATTGAGTGTCTCAGCACTAAGTTGTGGGTGATCGCTTTGTCAATCGATTAAGTGTCCGCGGTGGGTTATAAATTGGCCAAAAGCTGCAATAAATTGCACACACTGCCGGCCGTCCGATGATGATCATACCTAGAGCTCCCATGCACTCTAGCCTAGAGCCATAAATCCACAAGCAATTAATCACACGCGCGGAGAAATTTTCATTCATTGCGTCAAACTTCTAAAATGGTTCTCTCTGCCTTTATCACCGGGCATCTCTGTCTCTCTCTCTTCTCCCCGAAATAGGAGAGGAAAAGGTGAAACATTTCCATGCGATTTATGACCGCAAATTACTACCAAATCGTCTCAAGTGTCTTTTCTCATCCGCCTAACGCATGAGCATCTGAGGGGCGTGTAGGCAAAGCCGCGAGAGAGCGAATATTTAATTATGTATTCAAAAATACAAAAAGATATTAATCACTTAATTATTCCTCCATTAATATCTCACATGTACGGTGTACAAATATATCATAATAAGTAATTTAGCATACCATATATGATGATGCTGTGAGCGTGAGCATGGCAGAAAAAAAGAATATATTGCAACTGGAGGGAAAAAATTGTGTATGAACTTTTTTTCGAGATGGGCTTTCTAGGTCTTCTTCAACCTGTTGCCTTTTGGACTCTTTTTTCTCTTGTGGCCTCTGTATCATCTTATCTCTCTGCCTTCTTTCTCATCCAAAGGCACATTTCTACACACTCTGCGCGACTCGTTCTCTCCGCCTAAACATCGGCGGATGAGTGGATTTTTTCACCTCAGCGGGTCTCTCCTGCTTGGGAAAAAATGTAATGGTTTTTTTCTTACCTGAGATACACACCACTTATGACCGTTATAGCTATTTGTTACCTTTTTATTGGTGTGAATTTGGTTGTCGTTAATCCAACGCCACACGGGCGACTTATTGACAATTTTCCACCGTGGAAAAATTCGGTCCGCACAAAAAGATATTCTTTATGAGCAAAATTTCAGCAATTGCGCAAGCACTTAAGTGATAGTTTACGATCCCTCGTTGCTCTACACTTACGATAAGCTTTATGGTTACCCTCTTTTTATCTTTCACCTCGCTGGCCAAAGAAAAAGAGATGCTGAGAGTGGTGAAAAAAAGATTGAAATATTCCCAGCACCAGAAGTAGCCAAACACCAAGTCAAACAATGAGGAAAAAGTTGCGGCGGAGAGAAAAAAAGGCAGAAGATGAAATATATTAGTTGAAAAATAGTCAATTTTGCAAGATGCTTCCATTAATTTCATATTGAAGCGACCATTTATCATCGGACCATTAATTGGAATTAAATTTATTGCTCGTCAAATCCGACTAAACAGTTGCAGCAACAGTCCAATTGGAATACTCACAAAACCACGCCGAGGAATATTTGATGAAGGCATCACACAGAGCTTCTCTCTGGTGATTGATTGGAAGAGAAATGATGGATAGTGAAAGATTGATGATTTCCCCTACTATTTTCCATACAACTTTTTCCACGCTCCGGGTGGATCATCGCCACCCACTTCCCCGAAAACTGGCACATTTCCACTCCAATTGCTTCCGGTCTCCAGCAATTTTCTGCCACGTGGAGTCTCAAAGCGATCACACTGCGAGACTCCTCAGTCGCGAAGCTCCCCAGAGATGTGCAGATGATCTCACAATAGGCAGACTTTCAGCAACTGCGCTGCAGATTCTCTCGTGTGATATCGCAATTGCCATGCTCTCGATCGACTGCTGTTTCGGCGTGCAAGAGTATATCAATTGTCTGGCGGACACTCTCTAAGCAGTCTCATGTTCTTTGGCTGTGCAGATTATGCCCAATCAAGCATAATTTGGCAGCAAAGCACACGTAAGCTCTCATCAAGGACTGATCGCGTTGAATTTATTAAAGTACAGTGTGAAATTGGACAACTTTCGTTTGTGTAATTTTTCCAAATTACACTGTTTCGAATGCATAGTGCAAAGTTACATGAAAATTACAGGGAAAATCAGTAGATTTCAGCTTAATATGAGGGAATTTTCCAAATAAAATTGAATACAGAAAGATTTAAATCATTTGCCAATAAAGCTGAGCAAAAAACCTTCCAAAATTAGAGCTTGATTTTCATATAAACGCTGCCCCACTTCCCTTGCAACCGAAATATTAGCATATTTTACCTATGATTTTTCGAATCACAATAACAGTGATTTTTTCTTGATGAATAAAATCAAACTAACCAATCGCAGGAGCAAAAAAAAGCACCACGTTTGAAAACATCACATTTTGAGACTATTTGCATTCGTTGCTGGTCCAACAGGTTGTTTGCAATGTGGCCAAATAAATTTTATCTCGACTTTTTCATCATTTACACCTCCTGACTCGTGGTCAATAAATTTCCCAAATAGATCTCACAAATGATCAGACGCCAAAATAGTGTATCGGGTGTAATTTCTTAAAATATATTCCTACAGTGTGTGTCGTTTGGGAGGAGAGAAAAAAGCAGATCTCGTCCAACTATTGCATATCGTCGTCATATTTTAATCCGCGTTCGGCATTTTGGCGAGATCATCGTGCTCTTAGACGCGCGAGACTAGGCAGAAAAAAGACAGTTGAGAAGGAGAACACGAAAAATTTCCCAGATCGCCCAAAAGTGTGTCAGTCAGCCCCCATATTTCGTCAGAAGCTCTGCGC